ATTTTTACAAAAGAAGTGTTTTTTCTACCATGAATGCCCATACATAAAATGACATTAATGTTAATGTCATTAAATCAGCTAAAACTTTTACTGTTGTGCAGATATTGCTGCTATTTTCACAGCTGTATTCCACTGTTTATCATATTTTTTCTAGCACCTTTGCTGCCAGATTTTCATCATGTTTTTTTTTTTTTTTAACAGAGTATTTCCGTACATAAATGACTGTGACCAGTGCGGGCAGAGCAGTGACGGGTCGGTTGGAGACGCGATGCCGAGCACACACCCCATAAGAGGCCGATGCATTCTTGACTGTCGACGACTTTCGCTGCACAGTTTTCATTTTAAGATAAGGTTTAAGATTTCAGGCAGGCCGTCAACATCACGTCTTCACCTTCGCACACTCTGGTTGTAAATGAGATCACCAGCACAAGATGGCAGCGCCCATTTCTGAGATATTTCCACTGTGAATAATGAACATTCAAGTTTGAATTTGTGTTCAGGAAAGAAAAAAAAATCTTTGCACCTTAGCCAAGATTCAAAGCTCATTTGAAAAGAACTCACTGGACAGTTTCATGTGAAACAATGTGCATAATGCTGTATGTGAAGATTTTATATAATTTATGAAACCACAAAAAATGTTATTTTGGCCCTTATCAAAACTCTTTCACTGCACAGGCTGCCTTTGTTGTCACTATTGTGCCAATAAAAGTTAGTTTACGGGCAAACCTTCAATGACCAATAATTTGAGACGATATTGTCCAGAAACTGCAGCCCTGGAGGCTTTCAGCTGTATCTTTTTAGTCTCACTTCTACTTTTATACAGGGCTAGACAAAATTTGTCTCAGTTTACAGTACACATAAGTTCTGTGGCCTCCAACTACCCAATCAGCGCGACCACAAAGCCACAACTCCATCTCTGGTGATAATGTCTCTGGTTTATTCAAGAATGCATAAGCTCATATCACACTGCCTGTTTCTGGGCATGTGTTTTCCAGACATGAGAGAAAGTAAAGCAAAGTGACTGTAAAATCTTTAGAGTCACATCACAACAGGGTTTTGATGGTGTCCACGTACTTGAGGTTGAAAAACGATTTCGGTGTTTGACATATCACAGGACGGGACTACCCAGAAGTGTTGAGCAACTTAAAATACTTGAGTGTACGCCAGATTTGACTAATAATATAAGTTTCAGACATTTAAAGTTTTTGGGATGAATCCTGGAAAATGAACCGTTTTAAGAACAGATACTGTGATACTGTGGTCAGTTAGGTTTTTTTTTTTTTTTGCTATTTTTATCTTGAGTAGAAAATAGCTTGAAATAATAGCTGCCAAGTGAAATCCCATTCAGCTCCATTGTATTGGGTTGGCAGCAGAAATCCCAGCAGCGAATAACTCAAAATCATGCCAGATACCACTTGGGGTAAGTGGGAAAATATGTTTTTTCTTAATTTTTTTTGTGATTTGGATGAACTGACCATTTAGGTTTACCTCTGGGCACATCATTAAATATCATTTAGGCGCTGCTTCCCAAAGGATAAAAACAAGCTCATGTTAAAATGCATGACAGGGAAAAAAAAATGGCAAAAATATTTAGTGACATTTATTGTTGATATGAAAAGGACATATTCATAATGGTGCAATATGGCAAAACCCGTGGAGAGAAATTTAAGATGGGAAAGACAAACATGGAAACGTCCCTCTGGTTTAATTACTGCTGTTGCTGCCCATGAGCAAGGCATTTAACATGTATTAGCCAGTTATAAAATCTGCTCAGTTTCCAGGGCTGATTGTTTCCTGTTGACTTTCACTGCATAAATGAATAAATAAGTGGGTAACACATTTAGCTTCTTCTTGTTTGGATGGCACACTCACCCATCTGTCATGCTCCCCGGGCTCGTTAGTGAAGATATTGGGCTGTTGGCATCAAAGTTTCCCTCCAGGCCTGGATACCTGGAGCAGCCGTCTGCTGATGGAGGCAGAAACTCTGAGTTCCCTCTGTTGTGGGCGGCGCTGCTGTTTGAGTACACACCTGAAAGACAGCCACATGTGGTGTTGGTGATTTCACTGAATAGTTAAAGCAACATATAGGCTTGCTGGTAGCCTGAAACATTTGGAGATTGCAGCTTTGTGGAGGTTGGTGCAGTAATAGTTAGCTTAGCAACAGTTACAATAGCGCAAATGCCAAAACAGCATCCATATCCACAGAAACTTTGAAAACTGCAACTGCAACATATTTCACTTTTATGCTAGTTGTCCTTACACTCAATTTTATCCAAACACATTTTCAACACAGTACAACCAAATACAAAGCTGCACTCTGTTGCTCGTATAGTTAGCTAAGCTTAGCTATAATTACTGTGGGGGAAACAGCCTTAACAAAAGTATTGGATTGTCCAAACAACTTCCTAAAACTGCTTTGTAACATATTTTGCATCTTAACTGACTGAAACTATGCTCAGTTTGTTCAAAACAATACCGTTTACAGAAAAAATATGGCTATATACAAAGCTACACTTTGTTGCTAGCACAGTTAGCATAGATTAGCAACACTTAAAATGGGGCAAAATCTTGGAAAAATGTACATTAAATACAAAACTGCTACTGTCACGTATTTACCTTATACACCGACTGCCCCTATGCTCAGTTTGTCCAAAACACCAAAGTGTTCACAAAAATAGGATTAAATACAAAATCACAATTTGTTGTTAGCAAATTTATCTTGAATTAGCAACAATAAATCCATCTTCAAAAAGTTATCAAATTGTCAGCAGACACTTTAAAAATGGCTACTGGAACATATTTAACTTCATTTGCATTTTTTTCCAAGCATTAAAGTTTTCATGAAAATACGTCTAAATATAGACGACACTTTGTTGCTAGCACAGCTAGCTTAGATTAGCAATAATTACAATGAGGCAACAGCAACCAAGCTTAAAAAAAACATCAATTTGTCTACAGAAACTCCAGAACTGACCACTGCAGCATATTTTTCTTCTACGCGACTTTAAGCTCAATTGGAAAAAAACTCTAAACTTTTCCCCAAAATATGGCTAAATTGAATGCTACACTTTGTTGCTAGCACAGTTAGCTTAGCAGTTTATGTTTGCAATCAACATAAGCAAGCTAGAGATTTGCTGCCTAATAATTATTTTCATTCTAAATTTTTCAAGCAAAACCCTTTTCAAGTAATTAATTTATCATTTTGACTATAAAATATAGTTGTTTCTCTGACCAACAATTACAAATACTGAATTTACTGTTTTTGAAAAACAGCAATAAAAGCTGGAGTTTTCTATTGATAAAAAAAATTACTGCAGATTATCACAATATAATTATCTGTTAAGTGGTCATTTTAGCAATGTAGCAAATGTTAAGGCTTTTTTTTTTAAAAAAAGCCAACGGCTAACAAGCTAACTCCTAAAAAGAAACAGAAGCTACAGTTAGTAATATTTCAGCATATTCTGGTGGAAATATGAGTATTATAGACACATTAAATATACAAACAGGCAGAGGAGAAGTAGGCAATATTGTAAGAACCGTGTGGAGTTTCTATGGACAAGTTAATACTTTTTTTCCGTCTAAAACTATTGTGTTTATAAGTGCTTGCTCAAACTCAACTGTTGTGTTTCTCCCATAAAACTATACGACCTTACATTTAGACTGGCCTGAGATGACAACTCATTCTTTTTCCTTTATTTAGTTATTAAAATGTTCATTTTTCTTCTTAAATGGAAAACACTCTGGGTCACCTTTTTAATGTGCTGTGTAAATAAAGGTGAGTGGACTCTGAAAAAGCAGCAAGCATCAAACTTTTCACAGCCTCTTTTGAAGTCTGAGTGTTTAATACTAAAAACATTGTTCCTGTGCTGTTCATTTAAAGCTTTAACACATGGACCTACATGCCATTCGTTTGGCTTTCAACACTTTGACTTCCCCACAGCTGATGATAATAACATATGTCACCATAAATCCAGCGTACATGCTGTAATGCATCTACATATGCATCACCATTTCTGATAAGGAGAAAGTCCTCTTGGGATATTTTCAAAGTTAAACACTGAGATGCTTGTTTCACCCTGAATAAATATAGCTCGTAGCGTGCCGTTTGAGGCTTTTCCCTTAACGTCTTCTGGGTAAAACTGCAAGTAGTCTGAAGTAATAGACATGGACAGCTCTCCTGGACGCTCTCTGCTCTCCGTTGCCAACTGAGCCTCAGTGTACCTGACAGCTTCTTGATCCCGGTTCAGCCATTGAAAGGGAAAGAAAAAGAGCTTGGCTGGAAAACTGGTTTGGAGAAGCTGAAGGACGGGTGGGGTGAGGGCCAACTTGCCCACAGTCAGTGCCCGGTAATTGGACAAGGTAAACACTGGCATGATGAGCTATCATCGCAGGAATGAGAGAGGAGGGAGAGGAAAAAGGAGCAAATGAGGCCATGGGAGAAAATGAAAGAGACAGCTTAACAGCCCAGGTGCTCGGGCAATTACCCTTTTCTTTGTTTTTACTTGTTTCCAGAGAGGTGTCGAAGGCTAAACGCAGACTCTCTGCTACCGTTCCGTTGCACGTACCTGTGAAGTCATCTAAGGCCGGTAGAGGTGAGCTGTTTTCTTGGTGCGACGAGGCCGAGCTGTGGAGATGCTGCCTCGCCAGACAATCGCTCAAAATGTCCGATTCCAGCAGCGGAGGGACTTGAACCTGCCAATAAGACAAAATACAGATGTTCAAATGGATAGAGCTGATAAACGGTACGGTTAGTGTTCATGTGCGAACCGCTGCCTGCATGTAGGGATGAGAGTAATTATGCTAAAGCTGCAGCTTAGTTGTCTTTTAACTGCGCTTTGCTGTTGGGCAATGCAACTCCCATGGAGCTCAATTTTGAAAGGAGTGACTTCTCTTTTGATTACATACAGTAGATCAATTGAAAACACAGTGAGTTTTTCCGCAGGCGATGTTTCTGCTGTTCATTTTTAAAAGAAATGATGCTTGCACCAGATGCCTGGTTCTCGTTGCGATCCAGCTTCTCGAGGTACAAAATCCAGAAACCTTGTTAGGCAATCCCATTCCAAAAATGTTCTAACAAAGTTAAGTCAAGACAATTTACTTTATTATCCAGTGTTAAGGGAGCATCCCCCAGGACTTTCCAAAACAATTCATCCACAGCTCCAGGACTCCAGAAGAAGCTCGCGAAGGACACCCAGGAACCACAAAAGAGCTACGAACAATCAGCGAGAAATATTCGCCTAAACCCAGTGTTTATGAAGACAGAGACTTCAATAGCCGTGACACATCAGCCCAGAGAAATGCGCAACCGTGAGGAGTTTATGAAGTGCGTGTTTAATATTTCAAAGCCATATTTAGCCCCACAGGGTTTACTGCAGCTCGGGGCGTGTCGGCCATGTCACAACTTACAAGCACACGTGGTTCTGTTTAAAGCAAACAAGGCATGGGAATACACACAAAGGCCCAGTGTCACTCATGGTCCATAGAAAACAAACAAGGCCCAGATAAGGCAGAACAATAGGCTCCCTATTCTGACTTCCAGGGAGTGTGTGTAATACTTTGTTTTGTTGTATTTCATCCTACCGAATCATAAACATGCTGCTGCTGCTGCTCTCCATCTCCACTCAGAAACAAGACCTGCAGGACGACCACTGACCTCTTCTCCAATTGAAAATCATATAAAAAAAAAAAGACCAGTTCACTGTTAAATAAACCTTTCTGAGCCTCGAGGGTAAAAAGACGTCTCACTTCGCTGTAAACTGGATGTTGCATTTCAAACATAATCAAGATGCAGCAGAACAGGAAACAGATTTGCTTTACGTTTCCTGGGATTGTTCATCATTAGTCCTGATTTTCTACATCAGGATCTCACGAACAAGCCTGAAAAACTCAAAATTAACCTTGTCGTGAACTCTGCATGTGCTGCTCATCTGTGTATTCAAATACCGACAGTTTGTTTGCTTCTGTTATTCAGTGCATTTATACCTGAAATGTTTTTTGAAGGGCAAACATGAAGAGTTGACTTGAGTCTAGTTTTTTTTTTTTAAGGTTAGCATGTAATTGAGCTCGTTATTATCCATAATCTAATTTCAGAGCACAACTCACGGAACCTTTCTGCATGTAAATGTAATAATAATATGAATAACAAAACTAATTGTCAAACTATACAATAATTTCAAGCTGGTTTAGCTTAAAAATTCAAGTTCCCATGTCACAATTTGGGTTGAAAAATAGTTAACACTTTATAATTATCCGTTATAACTAGTAAATAGATCATTTGTAAACTGTTAATTAGTGAGTTATTAACCACTTGTTAAGTGTTTGTTAATAGTTTGTTGATGATTTATAACGATGCCTTATAGATAGTTAATAAACCATTTACAAACTGCGAGTTAATGAGTTATAACTGACTTGTTAACTGTATATTAATGATTTACAGCCATACCTTATAAACCAGTCATAGATCATGAACAAGCCATTAGTGAATTACTTACTAATGACTTGTTAAGTATCAGTTAATAGTTTATATATGTTATTGGGACGTTATTCTAAAGTTGCAACTATTCCTCATTTTCCAGCAGTTAATAAATGAGGAATAGTTGCAACTTTAGAATAACGTCCTTTATAACTCATTAACTAACAGTTTGTTAATGGTTTATTAACTATCTATAAGGCATCGTTATAAATCATCAACAAACTATTAACAAGTGGTTAATAACTCACTAATTAACAGTTTACAAATGATCTATTAACTAGTTATAACGGATAGTTATTATAAAGTGTTACCAAAAAAATATTTTTGAGCCTCATTTGAAATGAGGAAACAAGTTCAATAAATTAAAGATATTAAGTTGCATGTTCTTATTTTTTAACATTGTCTTTTGGTTGGAAAATGAGCTTCTTGTCAGTAGACGAGAAGAACTTAAAGGTTTGTACCAGACTTGGTTCATAAACTACATGCAGGGCTGCTCCCTGTGACGTGCGATGATCCCTGTGATGAATCCGATACGAGCTTTCATCGCGGTTTGCATTGTTTTTGTTAACATAAGAAGAAACAACCGTGACTTGATGTGTTAAAGATGCGCAGCAGGTTTCCATCATGAACAGTGGCGGAGCCAGACAATTTCTACAGGAGTGGCCAAACTGAGAGCATTACTCACTTTGGGGTGGCACAGAAACTCAGATCTTGGGGGTTTTTTTTTTTTTTTTTTTTTCAGTTAGGCAACTTGCTGTGAGACATTTCTTGGTCACTTGCTTTAACATTTGCTTATGCAGTTAACGCTGCCATGTACATGTGCACCATGAGGACTCATAGTTTGCTTTTTAATGAAACTCTCAGTTGATTCTGAAAAAAAATGCAAAGGTTGTCCCATGGATTACTTTTGTAAAATCTTTACACTAGAATGTAAATCTCATTAATATACAACTCCAGTTTAATGTGTGCTTTTGTAGGTCTCTCATGGACTTTTTTATTTCTTCAAAGCACTGAATTGTCTCAAGTGAGGATTAACTGTGTAAAAATACAGGACGAGAAGTTCGTTAATATGCTGACGATGTCTAAATCTATCAATTCAGGAATGGTCTGAAAATACTTTTTGAAATTAACTCACATTTTTAGTTCAAGTTATTTTTTTGGCCTTTGTGCCTTTATTGGATAGTGTTAGTGAGAGAGAGACAGGAAAGTAGGGGAGAAGAATGGGGGGAAGACATGTGGGAAAGGGTCATGAGCAGGATTCGAACCCATGACCTCCACATTGGGACTGTAGCCCTACACATAGGACAACAGTTCAACCAGGCGAGCTATAGCGACGCCCAACTCTCACATTTTGAAATTTTATTGGACAAATACCCTGAAAAATAGAGAATTGCTGGACCAACTTAAACAAATCGCTTCCATTGATAGAATGCAACTGAATTAAGTTTATCCGAATTAAGTTAACGCGTAATATAAATACCACAGGTTTAAGTTAGATGCACTCAAGTCATTTGAATTCTCCCAAAATTAGATTGTTGGCAACTTTATTTTGAGGAAGTGAAAGTTTGCAGTTTATCCAAATGAAGGATTTGCTTTTCCCAAATAAATTCAAGTTGAACTAATAATACATTTATGCTCTTATGTTAAGTAAGTGAGAAATAACGATCTGTTTCACGGTGTGGAGCTTTCGTTCGCATTCTAGATGTTTAGGGCTTTAACACACTGACTGTGTTCTTGCGTTGATTCTGGTTCGAGTCTATTTGTTTCTCTTTTGTCTTGTGTGCCACAAAAAGCTTTAAAAAAAGCTCCTAAATTGGATTCCTGAGAGTTTAAGATGCTGGTTCCTGAACCTTTGCTTCACGTCTTTTCTCTGCTCTCTTTCCCACATTTACTATCTATATCCAACGCAACTGCACATTAAGGGCAAACATGTCCCAAAACAATCTCGAAAAATGTCCTTAAGCTGTTTTTAAAATGCATCTACTGTGTTTTTATTTAGAGTCTTGTCTTCTCGTTCCTCTACGACTTGGTTCAACCAAATCTAATCAAGTTCTGGAGAGACAAAGACGTTTAATTGTTCGGTATGTGACAATCTGGTTGCTGTCAGTACCTTGACCTCTCTGTCCTGAAGGCCTTTGGCTGAGTGAGCTTTGACGTGCTTCCTTAGCGAGCTGGGATCGGTGTATCTCTTGGTGCATCCGGGGATCTGACAGGCGTACGGCTTCTGCGAACGAACCACAAGGAAGCAGAAGTGAGTGAAGTTCAACAGAAAGAAGAGAAAGCTGTGAAGAAATAGACAAGGAATGCTAAAAACAAGCTTTTTCTTCTAAAATATGCTGTTATTTAAACAAGTAAAAGTGAATTTGAGGTGTTTTGGAGATTATTTTTCATGTAATTACTCTTTTTTTTACCTTTGGTACTGAGGGACTGAAACCAAAAACCGGACTTTTACATAATGAATATCCAACAAAACAGCAAAAATAAACCCACAGTTTTGGAAATATGGTTTATAAAATGGTACAGACTAAACCCTCCCTTGTATATACTGGAAGAAATATTCCAAAATCCTGTATATGTTTCATGTAATCTTCGTGACTTAGGATGGGTTAGGATTTTGTAAACCGCACTGTAAAACGCTCACCACGCCGTGATGACTTTACGGTCGTTGTGGAGACGACGTCAAACATAAAAAAACGTGTTTACAAATAAGCTCGGTTGAGTCACATCCACATCGCACGCGTAAACATTTAGGATACATGTTGTAAATGCGGTTACTTATTATGACAAGTGCACTAACAGAGAAAAGGAAGGACATGCAGCTATGTCAACATTTTACATAATGTGCTCCTCAGCTGAGAATCGAGTATATTTACCTTTCATCTGCGAGCTTGAAGAGAGGAAGAGAGAGAAGAGTTTAGCGATAAATCAGTGATTTCATGAGGTATAAACTGTAAATGATCTACCTGCACTCTTCGTGTAAACAAAACGGCACTGAGTTGTTGTGAAAAGCTCATTTCTTAGCATCATCTCAGGTTGCAGACAAAATATTTATTGTTTTCGTGACGCAAAAACAGGCTGCAGCCAATTGTGTCATTAAAAAATAATCATTAACGGAAATCAAGGAAATGTGCTTTAAAATGTACAAAGTTATGTTTTCGTTTTGCACCATTTGACTTGAAAGCAGTTAATTAAGTTGCCTGTATTTCACAATTGGATCTAAGCTGCACGATCAGATCAGTAAATGAGCTCATTTCCATGAATCTGATTCCTCACAGATTTTTTTCTTCCTTTTTCTTTGCTGAGTATTTAACAGTTGGAGTCAATTAGGATTTCATGAAAACACATGTACAGTATTTATTTGTAGGTTTATGAACTGGGATCTGAGCACTGCGAGTCAAAAGTAATGACCTACATACATGCAAAAAAAAAAAAGCAATGCAACCAGGTTGAACACAGCGTTTTGCAGAAAATTTGAGGATTACACTTCAAAAAACACACTGTTTAGTAAATAAAAGCTAATAAAACTTGGAGAATTACCACCAAAAATCATGCATCAGGTAAAAAGGTAGCAATGAAAAGTGTTTTTAAAATTATTAATAACACGTTTTAGGTATGTTTTGATGGGAATATGCATGTAACAAAGATGTAAAAACATATAACTCAGACAGATGTTAATATAATCAGGATCAAGTAAGTGTAACTGTTGTTTTTTCATTTTCTACTATCCTGTAATTCTTTACAGACCAACATAAACACATTCCAACATAAATCTGGCATCAGAGCTAGAACTGCTTTACAGTGTTGGCAAAAGTTGAGCAATTTCTTGGTCTTTCGAAACTATCTTGGAAAAATATTCCCTCAGAGACCAACTCAGGTCTCCCTGAATCTGAAGAGATGCACTTAAACTGAAGTGGTGTCTTTCTAATCTTAGAATAAACTCAGTAAAGGCCTGTTAAATGTAAAGGCAATCACTCTTTGTTATGTTCTTTGCAAGAAATCTACACGTTTTCCTGTTTTTTTGAGGATTTGAGGAACAAAAATGTCTTTTATGCTTGAGTAAAAATGAGATTATTAACCTCTATGCATGTAAAACTCTGATTTATGTGTTAAAATGATACAAATAAATCGGTCTACAGGGCTCAGACAAATCATCAAGATGCACTTCAAGATGCTACGGTGGAAATATTTTAAAGCTAGAGTATGCAGGACTGTACAAAGCAGCGAGTGTAGCCTTTATTTTGAAAGGACACAACTGGAAAACACACACACACACACACACACACGCACGCACACACGCACACACACTCCTCGTACATCCACAACTTTTCTTCCAAAACACATGAACCTGAACTGACAGACTACAGCTGGACGCTACCTCATTTCTAAAAATACACAAATCGGCTCCATCACTCAGTTTGCAATCGTCCCGTTCAACGCCAGTATAGACCAACACAGCACTTGTTTCTAAAGAGGCTACAATGCAGACAAGCTGCAGACGTGTACACAAATACATGTAAACATGCCGTACTGAAACTGGAGGAGGATGGAAACCACAGAGAGCACTGAAAGACGAACAATGTGGTTGCACTTTCTCTATAAGTCCTGCAATATCTGCTGCTGCATCTATCATGTGTTGACACTTTCACCACAATAACTACATGAAAGAAGCCTGGTTAAGTTTGGACATCCAATTTACACAGCTAGTTTTAGAAAAAAGCACAATTTGGTTAAATTACAACTTGTTTGAAGCTTCTCCATTTGTCTGGTTTACCGTCTCAGTTATTATATGACTGGTAACAACAGTAAACTTATAAAATAAACAGCAAACGCTTTGATTTGAAGCATATTTGTGAAACCTCACAAACAAATGTAATCTGGCAGAAAAGACGTTTCTTTATTTTAAAAAAAAGTAACGAAGAAAGGAGCTAAATTGACTGAAACACATTGCTTACTCCGGCTTTAACGAGCTCTAACTGGCATAAAATGCACAACAGGTAACGAATTCAGCAGAAACTGATAGACGGTGGTTGTTAACACTGTAAAAAGTCAAAAAATGAGCTAATCTTTCCCATTATGTTCGTCAGTTTTTTAGTTTTAGACATCTCTGTATGAGACTGACCTCATTTTGGGGAAAAATCCCCCAACATGTAATATTAGCAACACAACATAAGCGGTTTAATCAAACTTGAGAAAAGTTTCTTGGCTGGCTCTTATATTAAACTACATTCAGCCATTATTTACATTCAGACGGTCCTCCAACGGGCCTCCATGATGGCGCCAGATGTGTCTGATTCCTGATTTGTGACGCAACTGTGAAGCCGCCATTAGCCAGCGTGAAACCACAAGAAGGAGAAAATAACTTTCTACTCCTGTTGTAATAACAGCGCAGAGCGACGCGCGGCTCCATCTCATCCGTGTAATAAGAGACGTGATTTGGTGGATTACGGCTAAATCCTCATCGCTTGTCAGCAGGAGTAAAAATAACTGCGGGCTGCAGAATAAATCCGCAGCAGGTATGTAGTTTCACCATCCAGACGGTATATCAGGCGGCTGTGCAGGAAGATGGGGGACGAGGGGAGCTGTGGCTCTTCAATCAGTTCATGTGTGCAAAAAAAACAACACGTTCTTTATCGTACAGAAATAACTGGAGCAATAAAGCATCGTGTTGTGTATTTAAAGCATATATTTAACACTCTGCAGCCTTTTTTCCATTAAAACTTTGTATATTTAATTTAACAACTTTCTCCAAGCATTACCAGGTATACATAAGTAATGCTTTTTTTCAAGTAATACACTTAATTTTGGGGTAATTATCTGTTTTATGCTGCTTTATACCTTTACTGCACTTCCTATGGAGAAGAAAATGCACTCTTTGCTCCTCTAAATGTCGTTGACAAATGCAAATACTTGACATAATTTACTTTTTCTTAAACTTAAGCTTTTGAACCATCTGTAGCACTAAAATTCAAAGGATCCATATCTTTTATTGTCACTTTTTCTACTACATGTGTAAATTCCTGTATATATTTGTCTTATTATCTTGTTTTATTTTTTATGAATATTTATTGTATTTTATTCTTTTCTTTCTTTAGTTATTTTACTTTATTTTTTAATTTTTCCTATTTCTATTATTCGTGCAAATTCCTAGGGCGACACCAACAGCCGAAACCAAATTCCTGGTATGTTGTGTACGTATTTGGCCATTAAAGCTGATTCTGATTCTGGTTCTGATGCAGCAATAACAGATAAATTCTTAGTTCTGTGTGTCTACATGGTGTCGTAATTCATCTCTTTACAGAATGCATCTATTCAGACACACTCACATCTACTTATACTTAAACAACAAATACAAATGTACAAGAGCAAAAACATTTGTTCAGAAAAAAAGAAAAACAGGCAAAAGTCATGGTTCAGAAAGTACGAATCTGCTCACGTTAATGGAAGTAGGTGCGTTAAACTGCGTTAAAAAAAGAAAAGTAGGTGCAGTGTTTACCAGTGAAAAAAAATAGAATAAAAAAATGCTACTTTAGTGCTAGAAACCACTGATAATAAACCATGAAAATACAGTAATATTTAACAGTGACTGGGCTTTTCCTACATGCACCAAACTGCTTTCACTTAGCTCATCATTTTTATGTACTTTAATTCAAGCAATATTTTTGAATGAGATGCTTTTAAAAGCAGCTGCAGCAAAGAATAAAATGGTTTTCATACCCATTTTAGATCATTAGTTATATAACAGTAATACAACAATCTGAAATTACAAGTTGTGAAGAAGTGAAGACACAGAAGACTTAAGAGCAACATGTAGTGAAGAATCAAGTCCTCATTGGTCCAGGTGGAGCTGATTTTAACTCCTCACTTCATCATGTTTTATGTGTAAAATCTTGATCTTCTATCTAATATCTAATAAAGACATTCTGTGGTTTTAAAAGGACAATATTTTCCTCTAAAATGCAACGAAGCCGAAATATGAAGTAGTAAGTAAAATGAAAGCCAATAAAAATGATACTTGGACGTGTTCGCTGGACATGAAAAGCACCTAAATGGAAAAAGCAACAATGCTGCCACAACATTTGGCACCTGCTGCAGGAAAAGAAGCCACGAGGAGTAAAAAAAACTCTGGATTTCGAGGAAGAGGCCTTCTTACTGTTCTCTCCCAGGATGCATCAGCGCTGGATTTCATAACTTATTTTGCAGTCGTAACCTGGATTTATGACCGCGGAGAACACGAGGGACGCCCGCCTCCGCTTCTCCGAACCCTCTGATGAGTTTTACCATCAGTTTCGTCACTTGTTACTGTCGACGCTGACAAACGTTTCAAAGCGTGACACGACGTCGTTTAATTATTGTTCGCCGCTCACGTAAAGCTTTTGGATTCTAGTTTTCATTCATTTATCGATGCAGATGCTGCAGAGACTCATGGGTGAACGGTTTCCATCTTTCTCTAAACTGATCCGACACAAAGAGAATCTGCTCAGTGACTTAACACGGACTCACTTTGGGGTTTATTAGCGCCGTTCGGTCCCAGAAGGTCCCATAGAAAAGCTCAGGGAAGCGTCTGTCCGCTGCACTTTCACCCTCCGAGGTCTCAGACGCTGTTTTTATTTCACTGCTGCCTCGGATCTCTTACTATATAAAACATTTTATAAACTCAGGGCTGTAAAATACGAGCTTGTAGCTGATCAACCTGGACTGAATGAGCGCTACATGATATCATAAATAGGTCGTATTAGTTGATCGCTTTTGCAGGTGTTAAAGGTGATGGAGAGGTTCACCACGAGAAAAAACAACCAGTTAGTCCTCAACCGTGACCGCTTCACTGTCATCCTCTTATTTACTAAAAAAGAATATGGCTAGTCAGACTCTGATTTATCTCAAATCAACAACAAATTTTGATTTTCCTGAAATGTTTATAGTAAAAAATCTGTTTTTTTTTTATAAAGATATTTGTGAAGTTTAAGCTTGACATATAAAATACTGTCTCTCATAAAAATTGCCCGTCTACTAATTTTTAGCACGTTTTTTTTTTCACACACTAAAGTTTGGCTGAATGTTTATTTCTCATCATGTCTTTGATTCGGAATCTGCAATATTGAACAAGTAGATTAAATAGGCTCTGATTATGAGTTGAAAGATGATAGAAAATCCAAAAAATAAATAAATAAAGGTTTGAAAGTAATCTAAAATTTCATAGATACCATTTTAAATATTATGATAGAAACTTTTTAGGCAAATCTGAGATGGTCGAGCAAAAGGATCCTGATGAGTTGAGAGGGGAGGATCCCTCTGTACATGACAAAAAATACTCTTTCACTGCGTGCACACTCTTATTGCAAAGTAATTTATCTAGTGTCTGAACCGTCATGAAGCTTTCAAATTATACATCAGTTGGGCAGATGCTATCCAAAATATTGCAAAAGTATTTTCACTCAGAATGTTGAGGGTTGAGTTAAGAACAAAACCCTTTAAAACTATACATGTACTAATTTTCCAAATATGTACTTTGGAAATGATGCGTATTAACTCTTTCTCTGACCTTTTCTGAGCTTCATCTTTATAATAACCTGACAGCTTTCAGTTCTGTGTAAATGTCAGTATGTGTGACTTTATTCAGTTTGTGTAACGTTTACTTCATTTCTACGACGTGCGCTTCTCAAAGAGGCTGACAAGTAGGTTTTGTTTGGAGTTTCACTTCGGCCAAAGCCAGAATGATCCTTTGTGCTATATGTAGGTGAGCAAATGCATCAGTTTCTTTTATGCTCTCATGTTGTATTTAATTTCATCTCTGTTTCAAACTGTCCTGGCAAGAGTTGAATCAACCGTTTAGCTTTCTGGGTACAAAATCCACACAAAATTAGTTGGAATTTTTCAGGCGTATGAATTATTTTCTGCGTGACCTCCAGTTATGGAGACGTACAGACGTTGGCGTGTCTATTCTGAGACACATAAAGCTGCCCGTTGGTGTGACTGAAACAAAACTAGGTTTGTACGAATGTGAATCTGCGCTACAATAGCGGTGTTTTCTAATTGTAAACTTTAGCTCTGTGTTTCAGGTGTTTGCTGCGTTCACTGACCGTGTCCACGTGCGTTCGCTGGTGTTTCGCTCGGTCGCTGGAGTTGCTGAAGGCCTTGAGGCAGCCGGGATGCTGGCAGATGTACGGTTTCTCTCCTGTATGGCTCCTCAGGTGGATCTTCAGGTTCTCCAAACGGGAGAACGCCTTAGAACAGCCCTCAAACTAACAAAGAAAGGAACAGATTTTACACAAGGCATTCATTACTTCAGAAACATTTTTTTAGTTTAACATTTCCCTCAATAAAGAGACTGTAAGATGGTAAAACTCTTTTATGGTTTCTTCTGGAAATATTAGTTCAGGACTGCACACTTTATTGTGTGTAGATTATGTTTTAAATGGATAAAGTTGCAATTTTTTGCCCATCAATCTCCACTTAATAACCCATAATGACAAAGTGAAAACATATTTTTAGAAGGTTTGGCAATTTGTTAGTAATTTAAAACCCAGAGTTAGTGAAGAACCATCTAAACTAGACCCGGCTGAGTTCCTCAAATGTCCTCAATCACATTTTGTAGATTGACATCTCTATGAGCAAGATGCATTAACTCCTTCCATCCTGGAGGTTTCTGTAGCAGGACCAGGCGCTATCTGTTCTCTGCAGAGCTGTGATTAATCTCTGGTCAACATGCAGCTGAAAATGTTTTTAGAACTAGTTTAACACCATCAGCGTCACTGACATTGTCATGAGGCTGGTTTTTATTCTCTAATTTTTACTTTTGATCAGGCAGAAAAGAATTTTTTTATTTTTTTTGGCTGGAGTTTTTCCAGTTTCACTCTGACCTGGTGAAAAAGCCCCCAAAAAAGTTATTGTATTAAAAAATTCTCCTATTTAATGAGACCAAAGTTGTGAATTCTGGCCTCACACAGTTGCACAGCTGGTGAATAAATGAAAAGATGAGAACTGCATTTCCCACTGTGCTGTAAAAAATTATGGATTATGGCGACACTCTGTACATGCACGCAACCCTCGGACACTGTTTATCGCTCCGCATTGAGATTTATTACCGGTGACAGCTGTAATTATTATCGCTGTGAGCTGTATGCTGAGATTGGATGGTTCTCACTCTCCCTAAGGTGTGACAGACGCTGTGCTTTATTTATTTTTAAGGCTTTTTCTTACCCCATTACATCACCTCATTACTGTCCTCAAAACGCAGAGTTACGCTGAAGGTGTCGGCTGTTTTTATTAAACTTAGAAAATCTATTTATACATATTAAAGCTGGACTTATTTATTTTTTTGCGCAATGCAGGATTAAAATTCATTGTATTTCACCTCCAACTGCTCTTATTGTAGTTAATAAATTTGTTATAAAACTTACATGCTCTAAGTAATGACTTTATATTTGTGTTATGTGATAATATGCGCTCAAATAAAGACTAAATCAATAAATGAATGAAGTTGTGAAGCGGCAAGCTGAGTTTGGGGATGTCTTTTAGTTGAGAATTAAAAAAAATAGCATTGGGGTTCAAGGATGAGTCCAAATTTTTCCAAGTCTGTCTTAAAAAACGCTTACATATGGACATATGTTCATATAGTGCATAAAAGTAGTATTTTGTATCACCAACAATGCCACAAATAATCACTTTAACAACTGAAGGAAGAGAGCTGAAGAGAGACGTTAGAATCCAGGATACTCTCTAACCTTCCTGAGCTGAGCTGGATATCAAATTGCCGTTTTGGAAAGTTACAAAAGCATTCGAACACAGTCAGACGTTAGGCATTTCCAACCGAGTAAACTCGCTGCTCCTGCTTCCGTCCATGCTGGGCACCAACGCTGGTCCATTACTAATGCGCTCCCAATAAAGGTGATGGGTTTCAACAACCACAGTCCTCGTTCTGCGTAAAAACGTCTTCACTTAAAATGAAGGTTCAGCAGCTGGAAACATCAAGTGTTTATTCTAAAGGTTCCAGAGTTTCAAACAAACAGAAACACTGTCCAGGGTGCAGAAAAGGTCAGAGGATGGTTTCTGGTGCTCCTTGAACAGGTTTTAGCCAAGAAAAAGGAAAAATTATTAGCAGGAAAATGATAAAAAATAGAGAATAAATGTATGTATATAATAATTTTTGATCAGTTTTGTTGGTTGGGGTTACATTTATCCAAGAATAATAGACAGCTTTGACTATTAATGGTTCAGAAATGGCACAAAAATGCTCAGATTTACTTCTTTCGACAGATTTCTGTCAAAAACACAGACTCCCAAACAAACAGAAACGCTGTCCAGGGAGACACAAAAAGTTCTGAGATGGTTTTTGGTGGCCCTTGAACAGGGCAAAAGGAAAATCAGCAGTGTTAAAATGATAAGAATAGAGAATAAATGTACAAATATAACAATTTTTGACCAGTTTTGTCAGTTGGGGTTTAATTTAACCAAGAATTAGTCGAGAGTTTTGACTATTAAATGGCAAAAAAATGCAGATTTCTGTCAAATAAGGTAACACAGACTCCATTTCTCATGGATTTGGAGTCCTTACTGATGTTGTCACCGGGGGAAGAGTGCAACTTTAAAACATACTGACTCAATTTGACTGCTGAAGCTTCATAGAGGTTTTCGCTGAACTTGGATGACTGCAGACGCTGTTGTCTATCACCTACAATATGGTTATATCAAATAAAAACCAGATGTAGTGCACACATGGGTACAAAATTGAGAAAATGGACACAACTGTGTATATAACAGTCGAACAGTTCAATCAAGGACAGCATATAATCTGTATGACTGGTATAAATTCATCCTGAACACATTTACTGTGCTGACAAGAGAAAAAATACAACATCAGAACCTTTATCCTGCTTTACAAATCACATCCAATCCCCTCGTCTGTACCTTTTAACTGCACTGGCGTGTAACTAACAAGTAATAAAATCCTATTTTCACATTAGAACTGAGTGATGTTGGAGACCGAAATACCAAGGAGGCAATATATCACCGTTTAAATCATAAACTTCAGGTAACAGCCTTTTCCCAAACAGCCAATTGAAAGAAAACCACACAAACACACACACATGAGACTGTGGTAGGTTCAGGTTAAAAGTGTTTCTGTTGGACTGAAGCCAGACAAGGAGCAAATATCAGCGTCAGCAGGCCATAAACCGACGCTTTATAACTTTACAGAAACTCTGTCACATTCAATCTCATATCTCACGGTTTTCAAATTAACCGTGTGGTCGTATCTGACCTTTACGTCAAACCCAACATGGAAATATTTTAAGGCAGTAAAAGAGTGTTTCAGATAATCACAAGAGGTTTTTACACAAACAGACCAGTCTGAATTCACCTTATGCACTAAATTCAGCTGTTTAAAGGAGTCTTTTTAATCAGGGAACTCTTTTTATGCATGAATTTAAGTGTCTCCTCGTCACCAAATGAACGATAAAGACACTAAATTATTGTGTAACACGACATTTAACAGAAAATAGTCCCTCCAGATGTTGTACGGATATTAAATCAATTAATTTAGATATTTTTATTTTGAAAAACAACCTGTAATGTCTCGGAAATTAGTCTTCGAACTTCGCCCTACTCTGATCCTAAAAGCTTTTCAACCTAATTTTCATTCCAGGGTTTTATTAGGTTTCGCTAATGAGTCTGTAAATGTCAGTCACCTCATTTAGTTTAATACGTCTGTACATAAAAACACACTACAGCACGGTGATTAATTAATACAAGGTTTGAAGCCGCCCAGGGTTTTTCCTGCACGGTGGAATTTTTTGGCATCCTGCTAAAAAGGTTTAAGCCAGAACCAAAGAAAGATCAACCAGCAGCACGATGATAAGTTAGTAGAGTTTTATGTACTTATTTGACATTTTTGTTCACCAAACGGTCTGCAAAGTGCACAGATTCCTGTCAAATAAGTTAACACAGACTCAGGTCCTTTGCTGTATATGAACCGATGATGCTTTCTGTCATATGCAGTCACCCTCAAAAGGCCTTTTCTGAACAAGAAAACCTGTCGCCTCTTTACTGAAACACACACTGATGATTGAAATGTTCAAACACTCAGGCACATAGGAACCCAGATGAAATCCTGAGAAACTGAGGACATAACTTTTCATTTCAGACCCGAAAACTTGCAGCTTTTTTGTCAACAGAGCTGCAAAGACAAACTTCAACACATTAGTTTGTGGTATTAGAAAAGAAAAATACACATTCAGCCTTTTAATTCCCCACATGACTACTGCAACTTGAAATACTACGAGAACAGCTTTATAGTTTATATACTATATTTCCTCAAGTAAATTGTGTATTTAAACATTTAAATATCAGATATACTAAGGCTATGAGACATGAGATGTTTAAAATAATTCAGTAAATTGGATTTCGTAGCAAAGAGAAGTTTGCAGAACTGTTTCTATGCGGCCGTTTTACACACAACCACATATAGCCAGGCAGTTTTGACCAACCAGGAGAATGATCATACTGATTCTATGGAAGTGTTAATGATTTAGGTTTAGTCGTGGATTTAAGCTCTGGCAGCTAATCCTGCAGAACAAAGCAAGACTGTAAGACAAAACAAACGGCCTGATGGACAGCTCAGTTTGGTGGGTGTCCTGAGCAGAACAAGGACACTTATTTACACGATTTCACCGTTTGACAGAAGAGCCTGTTAGCTAATTCGTGTTTTTCTTGGCCACAGTGTCACATGGTCCACAAAAGTTAGAATTCTTCGCTCGAGGAAAAAGTTGGAAGGAGGACACATCGGAGATCATAGGTTCCATTTGCTTTCCTATACGAATAAATTAATATGTGGAAACAAGGCCTAAGTCCAGTGTGTTGTTGACCCTCTGCTCACCCTGACCTCCTCCCTACAGAGACTCTTCGTCATCAAAGCTACGTCCGCCGACTTCCTTTCTTTGCTCTTTGTAAAGAGTCATAATTTCTGTAGCAACTGGAGAGTTTTCTCACTTCAGACATTTGTCATTTTGGGACAGTTGCTGATGGGTGTGATGTTTTTCTGAGAGGACTCAAAATAAACCACAGTTCAGACAGAGAGACGATGCAACTCGGTGAGTTTTAAATAGTGTTCAAAAAAAGATGAAGCTCTACAAGATGGGAAAAAAATGGAAAGACCAGTATGCAAATAAGAGATCATGAAGGTTCCCATAGTAATGAAGTGAGTTCCAACTGATTAGTATATGGACACAAAGGTAGTGTGTCCAGT